CGACGTCAATCAATACTTCACCAACATTATCCACGAAATCCACAATGACAATCAAAAAAATTGCGCTACTCAACGATACGAATACACTGTTGCAACAACAAAATTTGTACAACCAACAACACCAACTGAAATTGGATCAAATTGAAAATTACGAAAATTATTTGGCCACTGAAACGGAACAACCACAACACTACCACCACGCACAACAACAAAAACAATTGAATTTTGAACAACTACAATATTATTCCATTCAGCCACCAATACAAAGCAAAACTACCAACAATACACAGCAGCAACAACAACAGCCACCCAATAATGGCCACAAGAAGGCCTATCCGCCGCACAGCAGTAAATTTCCGGTGACCAGCAGCAATCCGAATGGCAGCGCTACTCCGCCCGGCACCGGCGAGGAGTTCGAGTTGATGGCCATCGATGGTAGTGGGCTGCTTCAGCGCGGCGGTTCCTCATCCTATTCGTCTTCCTATGAAGAGTCGATCAGCAAGAGTTCATTCGACTCCATTGCCTACTGTCATTTACATAACAAAAACAACAACATTAACAGTCTCAACAACAACAGCAACAACATAAACCATAATCACTACAACAACACGAGTAATTCATCCAACTCATCAACGCCATCAAAGCGTTGTGTTGGCGTCGGCGGTGTCGTCAGCGCAGATAGCTCTGGAACGGGCTCAGCGTCCGGATCGGGCGGCATTGGCAGCTCATTGAACAGCTCGGCCGGCTCGTCACCCAGCGCCAACGATGCACCGCCGTTGATTGAGGGCTTGGGCGGTGCGCCGCCTGAGTATGAGTTGCTGCCACTGGCGATGTGTAAGCAGGTGGCCGCTAGCCTACTGCAACCACCAGCGGGTAAGCACCGCGAGCTGCCCGTCGATGTGCCGGACAGCTTCATTGAGATAGTAAAGACGCCGCCGCGCTATCCGCCGCCACCACATCTGTCTTCGCTCTCATCGCAGATATCGTCAAATTCGTCCAACTCGACGGCGAATACCACACTGACGCACATCAACTCATCGTCGGCCTCCTCCTACAACAACAGCAGTAACATCAACCACAGTCACAATCATACTAACGATAACTCTTTTTCGCCCACGTGCTCCTCCATCTCGGGTTCATATTCGGCTTTGGCATCCGTTTCCGCCACGGCCTCGGCTGGTGTATCGTTGTCGGCATGTTCCCCGCTCTCCATGGATCCCATTCATCATCAGTCAACGGCAACGACCACAAAGTCAACGTCCGGTGGAGGTTGCCATCCACTGAAGCAATTGGTTAAACAGAAGAGTCTGCTGTCACTGGGCTCGTTGGGCAGCTCTACTGAAAAATTAGATAAATCAGCAGCAACGCAGCGTCAGCAACCACAACCGCAAGTGCCGTCGGGTGGTGGCAGCGGTGGCATCAACGGCGGCACAAATGCAGGCGACGGCTGCTTAATGGTGGCGAGCTTGGTGGGCAAAGGTGGCAAGCCGTCATCCAAGCGCAACAATGAGGTACTACCACCACTTGTTTCTTACTCCTCTGCCCACTCTATTCACTCTGTAAACTTTGTGAAAACTGTAATACGTTTTGCCATGTACCTCTTTCTCTCGCCCCACACTCTTTGGTGCAAACTTACGCTTGGTGTCACACTGCCTCCTGTCGTATTTGCGTTGTAACAGCAGCAGTGCTATGCTCGGCTCGTAGCTCCTCTGTAGTCCTTACTTACGTTACACCATTTTTCTTTGGTGCTATCACGGCTGGCTGGTTTGCCGATCCTTTGTACATTTTTCTTTCTTCTCATTATATTCTTTCTCTTTTTATTTTTGTTATTTTAAACGTAAGTAGCTGTAGCCTCTTTGTAGTTTCCTGTAGTTTGTTTAGCACTATTTCCAGTCCAGCGGGTTTCAGCTTTATCTGAAAAAAAAGAAAAATGTATGCATGTAAATATAAGTATATTGATAGATCGAATGGTTTCAGCTTTTTCCTTATCCTTTTCTACCAAGTATCGAGATTTTCTTGTCTTATTCCCAAAGTTAATTAAAGTGTTTTCTCATAGTAATTTGTTGAGATTTATGTTCGCGCTTCCCTCCTTATTTCAAAGTGGAGCAAAAACCCCTTAGCAAATGTCTCCCTCAGATAGCCCTCATACACAAGTCTCTGTATCCTTATTCACATCTTTATGTCTTTATCTAAGTTAAGCGCACTTAACTTAACCACACGCTCTTAGGTGTCACTATTCATAAAAAGTTTTATGTTCACAAGATTATTCCATATCTGCAGGGCCACCCATAAATTCGCCAAAGTGCTACTTTTTTGGAGCTGCCACTGCCAATGAACTCGCTTTTATAACGACATTCCGTGGCGTCTCTTAAGTGGCTGCACTTGTCCTTGTCACACACGCTTGAGCTGTCGCTGCTACTGTGCGGAAACACTGAGCTTTGCTGCAACACATTAAAGCGCTTTAAAGCGCCAAATTGCAGCCAAATGTGGCAGCAACAAATTACCAACGCGTGCTGGCACAAATCCTTTGCTCGCCAGCTGCCCAGCCTCCTCACTCAACGTGCAGCAGCGCGCGCTCGTTTTTTGCGCGTGTGACGCCTCACGCTGCGTCTGCTTTTTATTTTCTCTGTCGTATTTTGTTGACAGTTATGACGCACGAAACGAATGTGTTGCAATTGAATATGCGACAGCTCCTGCTGGCGTCTGTGGCAGCGTCGTCATCGCATTCTCAACAAATCGGGTGGCTTTGCGTAACTGTTGCAGTGGCACATGTTGAGCGGTCTCTAATGGATGGTGTGAATTTTTATGACAGTTGCATTCAAAGTGGCTGCTTTTTAGCGATGTCAAGTCGTTGTCATCGTGCGCTCATAAATTTCATATTTGCCCCAAAAAATTGCGTAGTCATAAAAAAGTTGTGCGACGTGGCGTGGACTTTGTGAAGGCGAATTCACCGATGCAGATGAGCAGACACAATAAAATGAGTGTGAAATTGCATACTTAATGCGGCAATTGATGCCACGAGGGAAGGGGTCCGCCAACCACTGCCATGCTTTTGGCAGATCTAAGTACATTCGACGTGATTTTCCGACGAAACCAACAAAGTTTTTAGAGGCCATCAGTGAAATTTCTTTTTTTTCTTTTAACCTGACTTAATTTTTCTGTCGGCCCAAACTCTCTCCAAGCTGTATGACTCATTCACTGCTTCCTGATCAAGAGTTTTCTAAACGCTGAGACCCGCGCGCCATGTTCATTACCAGTTTTCACGTCTACAAAAAAGATGTATGTATTTTCTTAATGAGGTGTTCGGAAGGTAGTAACTCAGAGATAATAAGCTTTCTACATTTTGTTATGACTAGAGGATTGTATGGGATGTGCTAGTATATTGCAAGCGATGCAAAGTTTTATATGCGCTCTTAAACTTCATTAAGGTTTTCCTCGTGCTGATGAAATCTCCACTCTGCAGCATTATTCATAAAAATAAACAATATGTATGAGAGAAATTACACCTATGTCCATACATTTTTGTTTAATTTTTACAGTCATATTCTTGCCAGCCATTCGAGTTAGCATTAATTTCACACAGAAATGTAATAACTCAAATTCCAATCTCGGCCAGCTAGGAGTATCTCACTAGAAATCTCTGCTTTCGCATTTGAATTGTGGAAAATTAATTCCGCATAAAAGATACCATTTTGTTCGCAATTAGTTTTGCTTTGCTGCCGCAGGCACGTGCAAAATTTTCTCAGCTACCTTAACGTCTAACCCCTCACGTGCTCAGCACGGCGTTACTGAGCTGTGTGTGTACTAACTGGCTACTTTTTGCTGCCGGAAATTAAAGCAATCGTAATAATTTTAAATGTTGCCAATGCTGGCATGTTCCGCCTGCTGCACCCTGAGCATCAGCTACGGCGTGTGAAAATCGCAGTGCTGCGGCCACCATTGCAAGCTTCGAATGATGTGTTGCTGGGTTAGTGCACATGTTGCAGATGGCGATGGCTTATCGCATTGGTAGCGGCAATGTAAACGTGCCACAAATGCTATGTATGTGCGCAAAGCTGGTGCCGGTGACTAGGTTGAAAAGTCATGCTGTAGGCGACTGGAAAATTATGTTTCGGTGCTGACCTAAAAACGGATAGCAAAAATAAAACAGTTGGCGCGCAGGTAAATGCTAGCAAGGAGCACACACGGGTCCCACCTAATCACATAGTATACTGCATCGGAATGCAGTTAAGCGTTACTCCAAAATGTCGGGGGAGCAGTTGATCCAATTCGCGGCGCTTTTTTATGAGCAACACTTTTACTAGTGGCAACTAAAACGGTTTATGTTAATTTTCGTACTTGACGTGAGTGCTGTGCTAAGTCGTCATAGACATAAATGTTTTGGTCGCACCAAAGTTTTGGTGTCGTATAGATTTCATGAATCATAAAGTTTATTTTTCATTTAGGAACTTTTTAAAGTGCTAAAAGTAGCGAAAAGAATTCCTAGAGTGCTGTTAAGTTGACTAGTCAGCTAAGTTGTTGACCGTGAAAGAGCGAGAAATCGATGCAGTTGCAGTTCATGATATACTCAGATCTAACTGGCTGTGATTAAACAAGAATTTGGGCTCCATTTTGAGAATGAATTTATTTAATTAATTTTGCCACTGTTCATGTTCGGCTCTTGTAGCTATGCTCCAAAATTATTGATTCCTGGTGTTGATTGGTCTCAGGGTGAACGAGCAGCACCTAAGAAGAATGAATACTGTTATATATGATTTTCTATATTGGATTTACAGTTATGCTCCTGTTAGCGGAACTAATAGGTCTCACTGTGTACTTAGAAAATTATATTTACATATCTCTTCTGAAAACTTACCTTTCTCTCTTCAAGCGCTACGCAGGTGTGAGTTTTTTTCTTTTTATTTAATTTATTTCTACTTGGCCATATCCAGCTGCCCTTAGATTTCATCTTGAAAAAATATAGCTGAAAGACATTACAATAAACAAATACCCAAAATTAAATTCTCATTGACCTGCTTTTTAACCTCGTCGTGTATTATTTTAGTTCGGAGGAGTTTACATCCCTGCCGCCGTAATTGGTAAAGTTTTCGTCTTTATTTGGTACATTCTTTTTGGAATTTCCTCTATAAAGATCTATGTAGGCAAAGTAAAATTATAGCAAACAACTAATGTGAATCTCTTTTCAAAAACTTACCGTTAAGCTTTCTGTGTGAAATATCCGCCCATGGCAGAATTGAAATTACTGCAGCTCCACTTATTATGGTTTTCACTGCATGACTTACGCAATTTTTTCTTTTTATTTCATTTATTTTCTTCAATTGTATTAATTAACCATTATTTCAACTTGAGTTTTAGTATGGTCATGTCGGTCATGGCACTGACACATTTTTAACAACATCCCTCCGCTGTTTGTAGGAAATCGCCCTTCTCACCTGCAGCTCTGAAATATAAGCAAAACACTTGAACACTTTTATTTTCATTTAGCTTACACACTTACTCACCCACTCGTTTCCACAACCTCATTTTCCATTTATGTACGCTACATGCTCAACTTTCATACTGACCCACAACGAAACTAACAGCTACTACTAGTAACTAACAACTGTAATGTGGATAACGGCCTGTAAAAATATTTATTAAAATTCTTTTGGTTTTTTATTTAAAATTTTATTAATATGCATTTTTTTTACTCACCCTCCTTCGCTGCCGCCGCAGTTGAATGGTTCTGTGAAACCGGTTCCGCCACCGCGCGATCACTTGCGCATCGAAAAGGATGGTCGCCTGATAAATCGCACGCCAGCGCCACAACTTCCAGACCGGCGTATGGGTAGCAGCGGTGTAGGTGCGCCCCAGCAAATTGCACAAATTGTTGAACCGACACTGGAGCAACTGGACAGCATCAAGAAGTATCAGGTGAGTCAATATGTAAAATTATTTTCGTTTTTATTACAATGCAAATACTTATTCTGGGCACAATAGACCTGCTGGTCGCAGTGCATGCCTCTATTAATTATCTAAATACTTATTCAGCGTACGAGAGAAAACAATACGCGTTTAGATCTGCAAATTTGTTGGATTGCGTACGAAATTTGATCAGCTGTTCGCAGCGCAGTTACTTATTTTGTTTTTGCTAGTAAAGCTTGTGTTGTAAAATTCCTAAAAATATGCAACACTTTTGCGTCAAACGCTCTTTCTCGTTCGAATGATTTTACGTTGCGCCAATGCAGTGGCAGCAAAATTGTTTATTTTGCAGGCACGCTGGCATTGTAAATATTTTTTCCAGCATAGATTTGTGTTGGACGTGGCATACGCTTGATTTAACAATTTTATGAATTTATGGAATTTTACGTGCGGGAATAGTACGCACATGCTGGTCGTAAAAGTTTGTGCCACAAAATAGTTTGGGAAATTGTGGGCGCTCGACGAGAAGTATGCAAGAGTGCCCTGGGTATCTTTTAGAAACTTCCGGTAGAGAAATAAGTTTACAGCCTAAGAGGGGAAAATCAAATAATGTATATGAGTTTCAGTTCCAGAGAAGGGAATAATTAATTCATAAATACATATATAAATATTTTTTTTTTACACTAAAAAATATATTTTAAATGTGACCCAAATACCTCTTCCAACCATGCGTCGGCAAACAATATGATCATCGAACCGCAAGAGTAGTTGAGCACCTTCCCACGGGCCACTTCGACGCCACAGCCACGCACCCAGCTCCAGCTTCAGCGCGCGCAAAGCAAAATATGCAAATCGCAAATAATGTAGAATAGAAATCAAAAGTGCTTGGGAAAATGTCCGCATATGAAAAGTTCCAGAGTGGGGTGAGTAAAAGCGCAAAAGCCGCAGTGCAACAAGAGCCCGGGGTAGGTAAAGTAAAATATGAATAATTCACATGGAACAAGTGAACAAATGAAATAAAAAGAAAAAGAAAAAGCGGAGTAAATACAAAGCAGCGAGAGTGAAATATGCAGTGCTGCGAGTTGCATTGAAAAATGATATTGGAAATTCAAAGAAGCCAACCGCAATAACTGTGTAACTTCTACAACAACAAGCAAGTATAATTTGTAACGATAACAATAATCATAAGAACTATAGAGTATACATAGATTGAGCCAGGCAAGAGCACTGCGAATGAACAGAAAAGGTATGGCAATTGCACTAGCAGGTGAGTGAAAAAAACGCAACTGGAAGCAGTCGAAGGTGAGTAGGGGAGCCATAAATGTGGAGGAGTAGTATCCCCAAAGCACTTGCGCAAATATGAAGGCAAACACTGGAAATAAAATGAATGAAATAAAAAGAAAAATAGAACTAAAGCCAGCAAAATAAATATAAATGAAAAGCGGAAATGTGGCTGACGCAGATGGCATGTAACAAAGCCCATTATGCTTTGGTAAATATCACAGCCGCGTAGGTATACACAGTGCATTGGTAATAAGTGTCCATGGCTGTATATATGCAGCATGCTAAAACGTGGTGAATAGAGCGCGTACGACTCAAGTGCATGCAGCTCCAGAATCATTGCATACTTTGCGGCTTTAGCGCACGAACGGCACAAGACAGGCAATGCAGTTGGGTGAGAGAGTAGCAAAGATGGTGTGAGCGAAGCGAAGGCTAAGGGGTCAAAAGGTGAAGCAAATACAATTCCAGCAAAAAAAAAAAAAACAGAAGACGGAAAGGGCGCTGAAAATGTTTGAATTAAAATAAATATTAGATGGGATTAGTTTGCAAAGTGGATTGAAGAAAGCAAAATGTGCAGGATGCTGAAGAAAATCCTATGAATATTGATACATAGTGGGATTGAAGGGGCAGTGCATCGCAGCGCAGCAAAAGGTGAAGAGTAAAGTAAGGTAAAGAAATTCAATGGATTTCTATTGAATGCAGTGCGCCGCAGGGAGTCTCTTGATTTGGAAATGGAAATAACTGTAATAGAGTATGCTACTCACGGAAAACAAATGACAATGCATAAAATTGATTGGGAAAATTTGCTAAAAAATTTACGAAATTAAAATAAAAGATAAGCCCTGACTGAAAAGACAAGTGAAGGTTGACAATTAGATATACATACATACATACATGTTACTGTTGATCACACATAGACTCTTTAATAACTACATTATGGCCACATAAGATATCTTAGAAGCCATGAAACATTCATAAAACAATTTGGCTACTAAAATCAGAAGTTTAACACTTGAACCGATAACCATTTGGGACAGCATCGAAGGCAGGGAAAATCTTTTTATCTGGAGCTACCGGTCCTTTTGTCAGGACATAATCCAACTTATTTATAGCCCTTCACACACACTTTTGTCTATCAACGGAATGCGTTAATTTGCGCTTACCAAAGCCTACCTATATCGTAAATGAGCCCACGCGCCATGTCGCCTTCTCTTCACAAAGGAAGTTTATCGCCCACAAGTGCGCTCACCTGGGCCTTAAATAGCTGCATAAATACACTAGCAAGCAGATTACCTGTGCAATCATTGTGACAACTTCTCGCATAAAACTGGCCCGCGCCCAACACAACTGGGGCGGGGGTAAAAGTGTTTTGAAAGCCCAATGTTTGTTGTTCTTCATAGTTCTTAGCATATTTATCAAGTCATGAATTTGAGTGGCAGAAACTTGGTTGCCAACTCACTATGGCACTTTATGCCTTTTAATAACAACAAATTGAGCCGAGAACTTTTCAGATAAAAATAAACAAAGTTGTGTGCGAATTGCCCGCATAACTGTATTTGTTCATAGTTGTAATTCTATGTACATGTATGTGTATTTGTGTGGTGCGAAAATCGAGCAAATGCGTTGACAGCGATGACGCAGGGATGCTGTGTGCGGTTGGCAGGCGGGCAATATTGTAAGCATCAGCAGCACGAGCCGTTACAAAAATGGTTGACAGCTTCCGGTGGACGCCAAAGGCAAGACATAAAAATAGACGATTGCTAATAATAGCACTGCGGGAAGTTCGAAGGCGCATGTGGCTTGGGAGTGAGATTGAAAACGGAACTCAAGGAAGCGCAGAGAAGCGAAAAAGGGGGGAATAGCCTGTCGGAAGTCTTTGCGTGCAGCATTGAAGTGCCAAAGTGTCAAAGCGCGGAAATGTGAAAAAGTGCCACTCGAAGTTAAATATTATGCAAATACTTGCTAGACCATCAACCTCACGCGGTTTGTTGCGGATATGAGGAAAATCGGGCGATGAAGGGATATTGTATTGCAAGGCTTTGTTACTTTTAAGTGACAGACAACCGAATCATTCACACTTTCGTCCAGTTATAAAATTTATTCTCTAAGTTAACAAATTTTTGGTCATCAAAGCTGTGGGCATTATAAACAAAATATTGAGTAGCTTTTAGTGTGGCGGAGTGCTTTTTTTGCAAGCTTTAGTTAATGTTAATTGAAACCCATTTCTTACCGTTCTTTGTTGACGCCAGTAAGCTGGACTACTATAGTCGGTTTATTTTAAGCCTAAAATTATGCATTGGCGATGAAGCCTATTCTTCAAGGTTTTTCGAAAATACTATACTTTTATTCAAAATTAAAGTCTTGTCAGTATTTTAGAGTAGATTGCACTTGCGTATTTCTCTAGATGAAACCTTTCCGAGCAGCGAAGCGTGATACTCCAGTAAAATTAAAGTTTGCTAAAGTAAGATCAGCTTTGATTAAGTGAGTTGCCCATGTGGATTCAGATAGATATCCATTGCAGTACGCGGCAGAGGTTTACCAGCATTCTAAGCCTACATGTTCTTATGATCATTCTGATTCTTCCAACGAAACTGTGCACTTTCGGGACAAAAAATATTCAAGGGATATTCACACTTCTAAATGGAATCTGCGCTTTTCTCAGCTCTAAGGTTCGAAAAATGATTACCACGGGTGCCCTGGATGACGTCCTTGCGGCTCGATAATAATAGTTATTTTTTCGATTATCGATTATAATCTTCCAGTCGTAGGTCTCAAAGTCTGTTAAATTTCCTGGAAGAGATACGATTGACTTTTTCTCCATCCGTCTAAGAAAGGGGCATCGAATTAAGTACAAATGCGATCTCGTAGCTTAATGAACAGAGCCTCTTGTGTCTATACACGTTCTGTTCAAAATATAAACATATCCTCTGTCCGCGATTCATTGTCTCCCTGTACGCGCTAAGTCTGAAGATCGGCCTATGTAACTCACATACATATGTAGATGCCTCACTTTCGCCGTTTACCTTCAACTAATTCTGTGTTTGAAGCACTCTCCTTCATTACTTTTGCCTTCTTTGTTTATGCGCCATTATAAATACAGACAAACATTCATTCAAGTTTGCCGCCTTTACCTCTTTTATTTTGATTACAAAATTTTCAGTTGACCCATTCTATTGTGCGTCTTCATTCTATGGCCGCCATTGTCTTTTTTATGTGCTCGCTTTATGATGGCGCCATAAGCGTGAAATGACTCGGTTTTGCCATGTCATACCAGTTCTTCATTAGTCCATCATTTGGCAGTCAAAACAGTGCATATTTTATGTGGCACGCAATTTGCTTTATTTTCGTTGTTGTTGCTGGCGCTTAACCGCTTTTCGTTCTCAGTTCAAATGTCACTTTCTGTTTGCCACTTGGCAAAGACAAATTCGATGTTTTGTCGTGCAATTTTAATGACGAGGCGGTTCGAAAGTGGTTGTGGTGGTAGTTATCTACTTGAGTGCAATTTCTCTGAATTTTTTCCCTTGAACGCATTTTCTTTTTTCTCTATATTTTAATTATCTCTTGGCTGCATGCAAAGCATGCTAAGGCGGTTAATCGCAGCTTAGTGTGGTCATCAAAATCGACGAATTTATCGAATCAGCATTGTAGACTTTTTTCCTTATTTGGAATGCTTCATTTTCTATGTTTATGTATATGTATGTATAACCACTGCTGCACCTGCTCCACCTGCG